GTTGGAGAGGGGGGAGAGGGGGGGGGCGAGAGAGGGGCGCGCACAGCCGATGGCCGATGCCTCCTCGCGCGGCCGTGCCCGGGCTCCCGTCACCGAAGCGGCCGCGCTGCGGCCAACAGCTCCGCCATGGAGTCCATCCACAGACTGCGTGCGCACCCCAACGGCTTCCAGCCGGTGATAAGCACAGACCAACAGTGTGAGATCGACGCAGAACAGACAGCACCGAGCGAAGCCCATGTTTTCTCCCAGGGACTAGCGCACGAGGAAGGATGAGTAACCGATGGCGTACGAGGAGCGATGAAGAACGCAGGCAGGCCTCGGGAACGACCGAGCCCCTTTTGAAAAGTAGGTGTTCCTTGTTCAAGCCGCTCACTGTAGCAGAACATCCAGCGGAGTGGAGATTTGGATCTTTCGGCGAAAAACAAGAAATTGGCAAGGGCTGAGGAAACCGAACGGGAGCTCAAACAAGCCCGAAGCTGATGGGGCACGCCCGTCGGTGCCGGAGAAGCTGGAGGGACGTCGGCCAGAGCTGGAAGAGGTGGCTGGGCTGTCCCTGGCTTCGTTTTCCAGCTTCCTTGTTTGTAGCCCACCTGTTGCAACGTGTGCCGCCTGCACTCTTACAGCTCCGCCAGCGGCTGTGGCAGCGCGTCCAGAGGCAGACGTGGCACAACCTTCCTTGCCACAGGCGGAGGCTTGTCAGGCGGCCTTGGCGACACGGGCATTGGTCCATCCGGCACCGGCGACCTTGGCGACTCCAGAAATGTTTCCGAGCGGGACGGCCAGGACTGCAGCGAGGGCTCTGCGAAGGGTTGCGGCAACGCGAGGGAGTCGGACGCGCAGTGCTGCGCGGCACCGCCGACCAGCTCCGGATCGCTCCTGCTCTTGACAGACAGTGTGCTCTTCGAGCGCGAGGACACGCAGGAAGCAGACACGCAACCGACCGGGAGCGAAGAGCAGGCTTCGGAGGGCCAAAGCCGAGACGACAGCCTGGACGCCCAGGACTGTGAGGACGCCCAAGTCCGGAGCGCGGAGCCGGGCTGAGCGGCGTTGTGGTTCACGGATGCGCACCTATGCTTGACCCTGACGCCTCGTGTGTACGATATCTCAGCCCACATGTCGTGGAAGGACGTACCGCCTTCTCCACTGTCCAATTTCATGGTGAGCTCGTCAGGGTCCAGGCCGGGCTGCAGCAAGGGCAGTCTCTGTGTGGAGCTGTTGATAAGCATTCGTAGGTGCTGATTCATTGCACTCTGCATCTGTACCGAGTCCAAGTCGTTTGCGTAAGATCCAAAGGGGTTCTCGAGCTCCTCAGCGATTAGATTGAGGGTATACAGGGTGAAGACTTGACCAAACGCAAAAAAGAAAGCCAACCACCATGTCGACATCCACTGAGTGACAACAAACGGCACCGCGAGCCAATGCATGAGCAACATACAGTCGCATGTTTGTGCGTACGGAAATGGGAATTGTACGATGGAGACCTTAAGCGCGTCTTCGAACGACTCTTTGCCGTCGCCCAGGTCCTGGAAAGAGCGCGTCAAAATCGGTGCGGGAATGGTCAACACACCTACGTTAATGTTCTCGACAATGAGCCCCTGAAGCCACTGGAATACGAGCTCCACCTTGGCATCCGACTCCATGACTGCGACAATGCTTTGCTCGTCGATCGCGTCAGCGTCAATGTTTTGTATGCCTCCAACACATCATCCAGATCAGAGCTGTCTGTGATGTCACCGAGAGCAGCTGCGTGCAGCATGCTGAAGAGACGGACCAAAAGATGCTGGAACATGCGCATCTCGTCCCTCTTCTCGGCGGAGCAGTGCTTGCAAAAAGCTACCAGTGCGCTGCAAGCGCGAAACCACTTAGCACCCATGTCGTGGATGTGCGTGCAGCCCTCCCAGAAGCGGCTGTACGCCACTGACGATCGGAACACGACCAGGAAACCCACCAGAAAGCTGAAGCCTCCCCAGATGGCGTTGTTCTTCATGAGGGCGGCCTCTGGGTCAAAGCCGCGGCCGAGGACCTCGAGGTCGTAGATTGCGAACGTGAGCAGGCTGGACAGGACACCTGCCGGGAGGGCCATCCACAGGGCCTGGGGGAAGACGCTCCCGTGGAGCCGAAACACCTTCCGGATGCCGCTCTCGTAGATGATCATCTCGCCAGCGGGCCACAGCGCGCAGAACTGGGGGAACCAAAAAGCTACCTATACCGCTAATCTCCAGACCTCTCCCGGGGTGCGTTCTGACCAGGATTTCGAGGCGCATCCAGCGGCGGCGACGAGGCCTACCCAGGAGGCCCACGAAGGGGAAAACGGGGGAAGGGTAGAGGTATGGGTACCTTTTCCTCCTCCGAAGGATGCGACGGCTGGCCCGGCCAGGCCAGGCTGCCGCCAACGAACCAGGATCGGAGGCGAGGCGGCGCGGCGCTTTGGGGGGCCAGCCTTGAGACAAAACGGCTACAGAGGGACCCTCTTCGGTCGTTTTCGGGGCCCGTTCCCACATACAAAAGGAGCTCGACCACAAGAAACTTCCACACCCAAACCCAACCCTGAGACCCCCAGACGTCTATTGAGTTTTGGTGTGGGAGCGTCGCGGTTTCCACAGCAAAACCATCGAAACCCTAGAGACCCAGGGCACCCTGGAGGCAAGCAGGGTGCCTCTTGGCATGGGCTCCCACTGTAGGGAGGGGGGGGAAGAGGAGCGCCGAGGGAGCGAAAGGAGTGGGGCGGGATCTCATAGCGTCCCTCCGCTCATGCCGGCACACCCTTCACACGGATCGTGCCCCCCAGGGGGCGTGGACCTGTTGGGCTGTCGTGGCGCCCTATCGGGGTCTCTTGGCTCGTCTTGAGGGCGCCTCACGTCGGGGGAGCAGTGGTCCAGAGCAGGAGGAGGAGGAGGAGGAGGAGGAGGAGGAGGAGAGGAGGAGGAGGAGGAGGAGCACCCTCGGCAGGCCCCCGTTACCCATGGGAGACTGCGGTCGTTGGGCCGGGGCCCCAGACCCCCTTCTCCTCCTCCCCTCTCTCCTCCCTCCTCCTCCTCCTCCTCCTCCTCCTCCTCCTCCTCCTCCTCCTCCTCCTCCTCCTCCTCCTCTCCTCCTCCTCCTCCCCCTCCCCCCCTCCCCCTCCCCCTCCCCCCCCCTCCGCCGCCACTCGACCGAGGAAGAGAGGAAGAGAAGGGACAGCAAGGAGGAGGGGGCAGGCAGTAGGGAGGAACAGGACGAGGGGGAAGACGGAGGACTGAGCAGAGCAGCACAAGAGCAGAGAGGAGGAGGGGGGAGATGGAGAGGGGACGTTTGGAGGGGAGAGGAGCATCAGAAGGATCGAAATGAAAGGCGAAGAAGAGCGCTGTGTTGAATCTTATACATGTTGAGGAGCGCCCTACGATAAGTGCAGCTGCATTTGGGGGGGCAAAAGGGGGAGGAGGAGGAGGAGGAGGAGGAGGAGGAGGAGGAGGAGGAGGAGGAGGAGGAGGCGGAGGAGGGGAGGGAGGGAGGGAGGGAGGGAGGAGGGAGGGAGGGAGGGAGGGAGGGAGGGAAAGGAAGAAGGGGAGGAGGGGAGGGCGGAATACGAAGAGAAGAGAACGACGTCGCGGAAGAGACGCATGTGGACGCTGGGGGAATGCTGCGCAGAGTATGAGGAGGAGGACGAACAAGAAGAAGCAGACGAAGAAGAAGAAGAAGAATGACTGGGGCCAGCGGGGCATGGGGAGGACGGTCAGGAGCAAGGAGAAGTCAACCCTTTGACGACACAGAGCAGAGGGGGAACAATGAGGGGGGGGGCACGGTGTCCCTCATCCGCGCGTGCCGTCCATAGTGGCCACCGTCCCATCCTGCCACCGAGCTCAGGTTCTTTGTCAGAGACCGCTGGATTGCCTGCTGGGATCTGCTTTGAAACCCCTGGGCAGCCTTCTGAAGGCAAGTGCGAAGCCCCTTGAGGGCAGTTTGGGGCCCTCGTTCGGGCCTCTTGGGGGTCCATCTGGAGCAACGTTCGGCCGTCGTGGGGCCGTCTTGGGCCGTCTCTTGTGGCCCTCCTGCACCGTCATGGGGGTCTTGGACCGTCTAGGGGGCTCTCCTGGCGCACTCTCGAGCCCGCGCAGGGGGCCCCTTGGGGCCCTCTTGCACCATCTTGGGACCCTCTTGGGCAGTCCTGGTGCCCTCTTGGGTCGTCTTGGGGGGGTCTCTTGGGGGCCTCCTGGGCCCTGGCACGATGTTTGACACCCATTCGGCCGTCTCGCTCCGTCGGAAGCCCGAAAAGGCGAGACACCTGAAAACCGCTATAATATATATATATATATATATACACAAAATGTTGTTGGCCTCCTCGCGCTCGCATGGAAGTCCTGTTGAAGCCCGCTGGGGCTGTCCTGAGCCCTTCTGGGTCGTCTTGGGGGGCTTGGGCCATCCTGGGGCTCTATATTGGGAGCCTCTTGGGAATCTCTTGGGGCTCTCTTGGCCCGTCTTGGGGCCGTCTTGGGACGTTTTGGAACCTTCTGGTGGCCTCTTGGGCCATCTTGGGCCGACTTCTGGCGCCCCTTGGGCCGTCTTGGAGCGTCGGAAGCCCGAAAAGGCGAAACAAGTAAATACCACCCTTCTGGACCGCCTGAGAGTGCGTTGGCCGTCTTGGAGCTCTCTTGGGGACCTCTTGAGGTGCTCTTGGGGCTCTCTTGGGGCCCTCTTGGGGCTCTCCCGAGCCATCTTGAAGCTTTCTTGGGCCGTCTCGGGGCCCTCTTGGGACTCTTGGGCTATCGTGGAGCTCTTCTAGGCCTTCTTGGGGCTTCCTTGGAGGCCTCTTGGGCCGTCTTTACGCGACTTGTGGCGCCTCTTGAACCGTCCTGGGCCGTCGGAAGCCCGAAAAGGCGAGAACTACCCCAAAAGCCGTCTGGGAGGCCCTCTCTGGGCGTCTTGGAAGCAGTTTGGACCGCTGGAGGCGCAGAGTGAGCCGTCGGAAACGTCCGGAGACCGTCTTGGGACTACTCGAGGCCGCCGTGGACCATTTTGACGGCTGTCTGAGCACCTTCTGCGTCGACTTGGGGCTCCCGAGATAGGGGCGGGGAGCTCTGGTCCGCCCCTTCGCGATCGGGGTGCTGGCCTGGGGGAGCCAAGACCAGGTCTCCCGTTCTGCGTGTGTATGCATATAGATATGAATGACGTTGGAGATATAGAAGTGTGTGTAAATATATACATGTATATGCATATAGATGATTAGATGTATGCACATGATATAATAAACATATGCTACAATACACTACAATACAATACAGCACAAAACGAAACAAGCCAATACAATACAATACAATCCAATACTATACAATGCTACACAATACCATGCGGTATACCATGATAGAACATGATAAAACATAGCACAACATGACATAATATAGCATAGCATAGCATATCATGGTATAGCATAACATAGCATAGCATAACATATCAGAACCTAACATAACGTACAGTATCATAATATACTACAATACACTACAATATAATCGAACAAAATATAATAGAATACACTAGGAGACAATATAATATAACATAATATACTGGCCTGAAAGATAACCTACTGTTATATACGATGACATGCAATAAGATCGTCAATTACAATATAATATAATAGATCGCGATATAATGTATTACAATATGGTATACAATAGTGTGATGAAGCACATGATACACTATAACTCACTACAATCGAATGTGCTATAGTATTGTATAATATAGTGTAATATAATTTAATATAATATAATATGATAGAATATGTTCTTGTTTAGTATCATATAATACCATACAAAATCATGCAACCCCCTAGCATATCATAGCATATGACATAATATATTGTGATATAATGTACCATGATATAATACAGTACAGATGGATAGATGGCTGTATATATACACATACATGTATATATATATATATATGTATACCTATATACGTGTGTATATATATATATATGTGTGTGTGTTCTTCCCGTCCTCGGAGAAATTGCTGCATCTTACCCCTGCGGCCCGTCGCCAAGTACCAGCACCCCCCCCCATGAGTCTCGGGTCGCCCCCCCCTGGGCACAGCCGCGGCGGGGACGGGAAAACTGGGGACGATGCCCCTCCGCAGGTATCCCCCCAAAACGGCGGCCGGCCGACCTTGAGCAGTGGGCGAGTCGGGCAACCCTGAATCTAAAGAAGTTCACTTCTCATTCTTCCCGCCCCCAGGGGAAAAGGAGATGGGGAGTGCGCGACCACTACATCTCACTACACCGCGTGACGGGCACAGCATCGTGAAACAGAAGATCGCCAGGCAGACTAGGATCGCAGATTTGCGCCTCATTGTTCGGCGGCCAGCCCGGGGGCGGGGGGGGAGTGAGAAGGGGCGGGCCTTTTCGGAGGGCTCGGAAGTCCCCCGGCCTTCTGGGAAGTTTTCTAAGCCTCCCCTGAAGACACAAAAGACGTCTCAGAGAAGGCTGGGGGGCTTCTGAGAAGTCCCGCCGCCTTCTGAGAAGGCCTTTTCCTTCTCGCTTCCCCCCTCGCTCGCCACCGATGTGTAAGTCCGCCGCCTGGGCGCGAACTAATGGGGGGGCAATAAATGGGGAGGGGGGGAAGGTGCCCTCTTCGGGCCCTAATTACCTCACGCTTGGGCACCATGGAGGGGCGAAGGGCCCCTTTTCAGCAGCCATCGCTGCCCCCCCATTTCCTGGGGAAACCAAAAGGTACCGATACCGCTACTCCCGGGACCTCTCCCAGGGTGCCTTCTGACTAAGATTTCGAGGCGAATCCAGCAGTGGCGACGAGGGCCGCCCAAGGAGGCCGAAAAAGGGGAAAACGATGGAAGGGTAGAGGTATGGGTACCTTGTTTCCTCCTCCGATCTTTTATCGGCCCTCCATTAAACGCGGCCTCCAAGTCGACTTCCGCCCACCTTCCGCCCGGGACCGCTGGCGGACCTGCCCCCCCCCCTTGAGCAGGGACAGACCATCCAGGCATTCCTATAGTCCTACCTCGAAATGTTCTTCGAACCTCAAAATGTTCTAAGAACGAAAACAGTGTTCTTAGAACATAAACCCGATGCGTTAAAACAAGACAGTATCAACCAGAAATGGTCTAAGAACATTTCGTGGAAACCACAAAAAGGTTCTTAGAACATTGTTTGGCAAGGCTATAGGCGAGCCAGGACGCTTCGCCACTGCTTGACCCCTGGCTCCGATCCTCCTCCCTCCCCTCGACCTGGCAGGCCGGCCTGCCCAGTCGAGTCTGCTTCAGTGTGAGCGCGCTCCTCCCCTGACCTTCCAGGAGGGCTAAAAAATAACACCCGACCTAAAAACCTATCCCCGAGCTATTCTACGTCTTGGTTTTAGGCTGTCTCGTTCAGTTTTCAGGTTTTTGGCCTCCAGTGCTAAAAAATGGCTCTCTGGAAGGTCAGGGTCCGTGCGTGCATGCCTCGCCCTGAGCAGGCGGTGCGTCCGCGGGCCCTCCGCCGGGGCCCTC